AAAGAAGATGTAGGTTTGTTTTTATATTTTGACAGGGCAAAAGTAGAGGGGAATTTATCTTTCAAGTAGAGGATACCGACCCAAATCTGTTCCTAAAGTTTTATAAGATTACCAAAACAAAGGTCATACCTGACAAAAGGTAGATAAGAGGGGAGGATAGTGTGATAATGTGACTAGAACAAAGGTCATCACGTGAAGCAATTTTATTCGTGTAGGATAATGTGACTGGGATTTACCTAATATATCAAGATTATTTTCTTCTCCAACAAGGGGACAAGAGTGTTGAAGAATACTATTCAGCCATGAAGAACTTGTGGAATGAACTTAATGTCTATCAACCCTTGGATGTTGCCAGGTTCTCTATTAATTCAGTGATTTGTAGTTTCAACAACAATAAAGAGAACACTTGGATGTTGCCAGGTTCTTATTTGGATTGAGGTCTGAGTGTGGGCCAGTTTGTGGTCAAATTTTGGGCATAAAGTGTTTTCTAGAATCAAAAGGGTTTCTAATGCACCAACTGAGAACATTTCAGTGTCTAAGAGATCTGCATTGGCTGCAACTAGGGAGATTGGTAGAGGCACACGTGGCAGAGGTGCTGGTTGTGGTGTTAGACATGATCGTGGTGGTGGTAAAGATGGAGGCAATGCTAGAGGTGGTGGTAGAGGTGTTGATGGGTACAGCACTGTATGTGAGTGTAGTCACTATGGATGTGAGTTAGGAACTTAGGGCTGATCCTTTACAGTCTGACCTACAAAACCCAGTCAGGCCTGTATTAGGCCCACAAATTTCTAGGCTGGGCCTAGGCTCATTACTTCAGGTCTGACCCACATATATATATGTATATATATATATGTATGTATGTATGTTTCTTTTAGGATTTTTTTTTTGGCTTTGACAACCCTTGAACTTTGCCAAAAAATCACCATAGACCCTAAAGAATTAAAAGGGCTATTTTCACCCTCAAACTATGATGGAAAGGCCATTTTATGGGAAAAAGAGACAACGTTAGAGATGTTGTTGACATATCTGTTAGACAATGGATAAGATAATAAAAACATGCTTATGTGGCACTATTCAAGTTTGAAAAGGACGCTTTAGACCCTAAAATTTGAAAGGCCACCGTAATAAAGTTAATTAAGTAAATTACTTCAAGGTCTATGATGGTATAAAGTAATTAAGTAAATTAAATAAATTACACTAATTAAGATAATTAATTAAATTAAGCCAACTTTGTAAATTAAGTAAATATGTAAATATTAAGGAAACTTTAATTAAGTAAGTTGGATAAAGAGAGCTAATCGACCTAAATAAGTAAATTAAGCCAATTAAGCATGATTTAAAAAACCGACCCAAAAATGAAATTGCTTTGGCACTGATTTTTTGGTTAGTGGTTCAACTGTCCGGTCTAAACGGATCTACCCATGATGTTTTAAAAAATAAAAAATAATTAAAAAAGCCTCGAAAACCATTAACTGAGTTTTTTGTGGTTTAACCAATTGGTCAACACTTTGCTAACAAAGTCAACATTTTTTGGAAAATTCTGTGCCAAGTATAAAGTGGAATCAGGCAGTTAACCGGTTTCTGGGTCGAACAATTCGATCAGTTGGGTTAGCTATGATTTTAAACCATGTAATTAAGTGAATTAGCTAATTGATTAAGTAAATTTTGTAAATTAAGCTAACTGAAAAGAGTAATTAAATAATCAAAGCTAATTAGGGTAAATAAGTAAATTAAGTTATTGTTAATTAAGTGAATTAAGCAAACAAAGTAATTAAAAAATTAAGTAAATTAATGCAATTAAGAAAATTGAGTTACTTAGTTAACTAGGTTAATTAAGTTAACTGATTGTTAGTTTACTGTTAGTTAAGCTAATTAAGTTAGTGTTTAAGTAATAATTTGCTCTTAATTATTGTTAATTATTTACTATTAAATTAATTATTGTTAATTTAATGACTCTAATTTGATAAAATCCTTGAAGTAATTTACTTCAAGGTTAATAAAATTTATTTTTTGATTAATAGATTTTTTAACATTTAAAGTGGCTTTTTCAAACTTGAGCAGTGCCACGTAAGCATGCTTTTATTATTTTATTCATTTGCTAACAAATTTGTCAACAATGTCTCTAATGTCGCATATTTTTGCCTTAAAATGGGCTTTCCGTCCTAGTTTGAGGGCAAAAATTGCCCTTTTAATTCTTTAGGGTCTAAAGTGATTTTTTAGCAAAGTTCAAGGGTTGTTAGAGAACTCAAGCAGGGTTAGGCCCAAGCCCAAGCTATAGCCGTTATCACACGTGAAAAGCCCAACTTGTGCCTGGCTTGGCTCAACCCATGATCACTCCTTAGTGTAAGTGTCACAATGTTAATTATTGTTATGATTTACATGGTCCACTGATGTAGGATCAGATCGGTTCTAGTCCTTAGAGAATTGAGTGGTCGCCTTTGATCAGAATTTTATGGCCGTTGATGGCTGTAATTGAAGGAATAAGAGAGAAAAATAGGGAGAGAAAGAAGAGAGAAAATACATGGAATCACTCACAGGGTGTTTAGAATCAATGTTTTTGAATCACCGTTGACTCGGACGACCGGACTGTTTGGCCCAGAAACCATCCAAGCAATCGGTTCCGTTTTACCCCAAACCCGGTCCTTGGCAAAAAACTGTTGAATTGGCCAATGATCCGTTAACCTGGCGGTTGAACCATTGACCTGTTTGACCCATTCAACAGTTTTCGCCATTTTTTAAAACATTGCTTAGTATCCCTCTACGGCATGGGAATCACTCACCATAGTTAGCATAAGCTGAAGAAAACTCAATAAACTTCATTGCTCTTTATGTAAAACGTCCATACATATTTATAGACTTTAAAGTCATGATAATCCTAGGAGTCAAATTGTTAGACTCATAATAGTCCTAGGAGTTAAACAGTTAGACTCAATAATCCTAGTAAGACTCAAACTAAGCTGTCATATCCTATTTCAATTCAAAGAAGACTCAATAACTCTAATCCTACTTATGCAATGACTCTGAAATTTTAAACATAAACAAACTATAACTAGACAAGTTAAACCCTATCATTGGATCCCACAGAAAATTGCAAACAAACATAAACTCTTCAACTCCTGCATCATCCACCCTCTACATAGGCTTATCATGCTTCAGTTTGAGAGGAATCAACTGTGGAAGACACATTTGTCTCTGGAGTCGGAAAGGAGGAGCTGATATCTATCACTTGTGAAGAGCATGAGAAACTTTATCTGCCTCTTCTTCTAGTCCTACTACCACTCTTGCTCAAATAGGTATAGCTTGTCTTACTCCTCATTTTAAGCCTGCTACCTGGGTTATAGACTCTGGAACCTTAGATCATTTGATTAGGTCTCTAGGTTTGTTTACCTCGCTATCTACTCTAACCACATTTAGCCTGTTACCTAGTTAATGATACCACTTTGGGCACACATACTGGTAATGTTACACTTAACCAGTCTCTTACTTTGCCTTTAGTTTTATATGTACCTAAGTTCCCCTTTAGTCTCAAGTTTTCAAGTAAATTAACAAAGACTCTAACTATTCTCTCTCTTCTCAATAGTGTAGGTCTTCCCCTCCCTTTTGAGTTCACTTCTCCATCCTAGAGTCTTCACCCCACAAACTGCACTGTCCACAAAACCTTTGAACCAGTTGATTGATTCTTCTCCAGGAAGCATCATCAGTTTCTTGTCTTGCCTTAACTTCATTGCCATACCTTCTTTAGTCTCCTCAAGCATGACCTTCTTTTTCTCCACTACAAATTCCTTTTTCCTTCTAATTGCAGGTTTGAAGCCTTTCTCCATTTTCTTGATGCCGAGTCTCTGTCCAGTTTTCAAAATTCTTATATTGTTCTCTCCATAGTTGTCAAGGTGCCTAGGCGATGGAATTTGAAAGTATAAAATAAATATCCCTACCCCTCTTAAGCTACTTTATTAGTTTTTTTTAATACTAACCAACATACGTGTATACTAGCTATTAGCAATAAAATCATTAAAATAAAACATAAATGCCATCATATATACATCATACCTGTTTCAGGCCAACAAAAAAGGGAGAGTGCAGCTAAAAAAAGAGAGAAAAGTAAGGGGGCAGAGCCCCGTTTCATTCCCAAAATAAGTTGTCCAAGAGGGCGACTTGGACTGTGTTTAAGGGGTGGAGCCCCTGTTTCAGTCCCAATTTTTTTTTTTTAAGTAAGAAAGTAAAATACAGGAGTATGAGTGTGATATGAGGAAGAAGGAGGTGGAGCCCCGTTTCATCCCAAACCTGGTCTTGGACGACATGGACTGAACAATGGAAACTTCTCAGTCCTTCGTTTCTCTTCTCAGCTCTTGGTTCAGAACTCAAACCCAAAGAAACTTTCATAACTTTAATATAAAAGAGAATTATCTTAATAAAAAAATTGTAACATACAACAGGGTGTATTCTAATAAAATAAAACCAACCAATAAAATGATATAATACATATGCACATTCAAAAAAAAAAAAAAATGTATATGGGTGAGCTCCTAATACAAAAAACACCTCAGCATTGGGCGAGGCGACCTCTAAAAATCACCTAGTCGCTTAGGCGACTTGACAACTATTGTTCTCTCTATCCGACTGCTATTATGAATCTGCAGATTTTCACATTTTTTTGTACTTTTGGTGATTTGGTGACACAGTTATCAACATATTGACTTTTATGCATCCTTTTCAATGTTTAGCTTTGGTATTGATTCTTTTACTTGTTACTGGTTTAGTTGCTGCTGTTTAACCTATCTTATTTCCAGTTTGTATAGTTTACAGTATCAAAGTTCCATACAGCTGGTGAATTGGAACTTAGCCTATACCCAACTCTGGTCCCAATTTTACATGAGTCTTCATTTTCATTGCAATTCTTTCTTTTGTTTTTTTAATTTATTTCTGATGGTATTAGCTATTGTTTGTTCTATTTGAACTTCTTCAGGATCTAACTCTTGCTGATGTATCTTCATCCATGGCAGTGCTTTGGACGGGGTTGTTAACCTATGGCAAATTCAGGCAAAAGGGTACTCTCCTTGACATTTCTTTTTGTTCCTTTTTCCATTTCTTTGGTTTTTTTTTTAGGCTGAGGGGAGGGTGAGTAGGTCCATGGTTTAGCAGGTAAAAGGCAAAATTTGAACCTAGACCTTTGTTATGAAAACTTCTTGTTGTGCCAACTTTATTTCTCGTTGCATGTGAGGTCTGTCAATGTATTGGATCATGATTGGGATTTGATTGGATAGGGATCTCAAATGGTAGATCTTTTTGTAATCTGATCAAATTTGCACCCATCAGTGTACATACATAAACACTGGGCTGCTTGGAAATAACTTTGGATTGTATGCTCTCAGGGTCCACCTTTTCTTCATCAGTTGGTTAGAAATATCCAGAAGCAATAGATGCTTGAAACTTTGGTTTGACACAGTTGGTGACTGGTCAAGTAATATTATCTATTTGTCTTGATTAGATTCTATAAAATAAAATAAATGGAGGCAATGGGAAGTCAGTTTGGAGCATCTGTTATTGTTTATTCACTTATTTCTTTTTTATTGTTTCCCTATGCTCCTCTTTGTAGTCAAGGTTGGTGGTTCCCAGAGGAAAACATTGATGATCCTCCTCTGCAAATTTGATTACTGTTGATATGTACTATGATTTTGGCTAGTTTTTTTGGATTGATGAATTCACTTTGTTGATCTTCAAGGCACTAATATGATATTTCAAAATAAAAGGTTTCCATAACTTTTGGTACTAACCTAAGATTGTAAAACTCTACATTTCTAGAAAACAATGATGAAAATAAACTCTAAGGAGTGCAAATGCATTAGCTGACTCCCCTGCCAAACAAGGGGTTATGAGGCAACCATTGTTTTGGGTATCCATGCAATTTGGGTTTGTAAGTAGGGTTTGACATTCCTGTCATCAAGTTGTATTAATCACTCCTACATTCCAAACTAATAAAATAACAATCCTTTTCTGCTGATCAAAATAAATAAATAAAACAGTCCAGAATCCAACAAGTAAAGAGTGATAGAAGGAGGTTGTTTTCTCGTTGGGGGCACAACATTGTCAACAATTCTGATGCTGAGTTGCTTGACAAAATTACTGAATGAATGGAAGGTGGAGGCGAACTGGACATAGGTGGTTCGCAAGAAAAGGCCTTGCAAAAAATATGTGCAGAGCGAGAATAGACCAGTTACCAGATCGCAGACCTGCCAAGGTAAGATTACTTCTAGTTGTTCTCAATGAATGGTCTCTTCTGGAATATCCGAGGGATTGTAAATGATCCCTCTATCACTCGTTTAAATAAACTTTGCAAATTGCATAAATTAGGTGTGGTAGTAGTGGCTGAACCCATGATTGGGGATGGTAGACTTTCCTTGATTTTTAGGAGACTTAACATGACTGGTTTCATGGTTAATATTAGTAGCAAAATTGTTTTGTTTTGGAATAGCTTTTTCTTTGTACGGTTGATAAAGGATTGTGATAAAATTCTAACTATGAAAACTACCACCTCTACCAATGAGACCTTTTTTCTTTTTGTGGTTTATGCTAAATGTGATCAGCTGGAAAGAACAATTCTTTGGGGCGGAATTCGGAATTTAGCTTATGGTATTTCTGACCCTTGGTTGTTAGCTAGAGATTTTAATGTGATTGCTTGTAGAGAGGAAAAGGTGGGAGGGAGAAGTCTTGATGTCTCCATAATGGAGGATTTTGTTGATATGATAAATATTGTGGGTTTGGTAGATTTGGGTTACTCTAGAAGCAGATTCACTTGGTGCAATAATAGAGAAGGTTTAGATTGCGTTTGGGCTCGACTTGACCGAGTTCTGGTTAATTCCAGTTGGGCTCAATCCTTCCCTTTGAAACCAGTAAATCATTTCAATCGCAGCTGTTCAGATCATTGCCCCTTGGTTTTTTCTATTGATGAGGAAAGACAGACGGGTCCCAAGCCTTTTAGATTTCAACAGATGTGGCTCTCTTATCACACTTTTCACACGGTTGTTAGGGACTGCTGGGTTGAGGATGTTAATGCCAATCCATTGATGAATTTATTTCTCAAATTACACAAATTGAGGAATAAGCTCAAGCAATGGAATTGGGAGGTTTTTGGGAATGTTCATTAGGCAGTGAAGGAGGCAGAAGACAGTGTTCAACGTGTAGAAATGAATCGCTTACAGATGAACTCGGCTGCTAGTCTCATTGAGCTCAGAGAGAAGAGGAAGAAACCTCATGAAATTCACAAACTGGGGGAAATATTCTGGAGACAAAAATCTAGAATCAAGTGGTTGAAAGAGGGTGATAGAAATTCAAAATTCTTTCATCTTTCTGTTAAAATGAATAGAGTGCGAAGTAGAATTTGTAAAATCAAAGATTCTATAGGAAACTGGATTATTGACCTAGAGAAGATGAAACAGGGTGCAGTGAACTATTTTCGCAGTGTTTTATCAAAGGAAGGGGTAGTTTGCGATGATGGTGTGTGGTAAATCAGGGGGACAATGATCTCTTATTGGCCGTTCTTTTTGAGACAGAGATTCAAGAGGTGGTTCACGCCATGGATAGAGACAGTGCTCCAGGACCGGATGGCTTCATAGGGCATTTTTTTGTTTCGTGTTGGGGTATTGTTGGAGCTGATGTGGTAGGGGCTGTCCAATATTTCTTTAATGGTGGCCAGCTCCTGGTGAGTTACACTTCCTCTTTTATTACTCTCATTCCTAAATGCAAGGTTCTTGAAAGTTTCACAGATTTTTGTCCCATTAGCTTATGTAAATTTTTGCTACAAAATTCTTGCAAAGATTGTTACTAAAAGACTGGCCGGCATTTTACCTAAGCTAATTTCACAAGAGCAGGGTGCTTTCATACAGAGGTGAAACATCATGGACAATGTGGCTCTGGTGCAGGAAATGGTTAATGATATTGAAAGGAAGGTAGTGGGGAGAAATGTAGTTCTTAAACTGGATATGGCAAAAGCTTATGATCGGCTGAATTGAGACTTTCTCTTCGCTGTCTTGAGACGGTTCGGTTTCAGTGAGGCTTGGATCGAGCTGGTTAAAAAAATGGTTGATAACTGCTGGTTCTTGATAGGCCCTCAATTAACCTTACGTATGCCAGGAAGAGGAAAGGTCAACAGTCGGCTAAGGGGGGGGGGAATAATTGAACAATTGAACACATGGGGGCAATTATAGCTGAAGGGAATAAGGAGAGTCTTGAGGCATTTATAGCTATGTCAGTTAGGAGTAAGAAGAGTGTTGGGAATTTATAACTTGGCCAGCTGGGCATTTATAGAGGGAGTCAGTTAAGTTGTGAGAAGAATATAAGAAGGGGCTTTGGGGGATGGGGGGAGGCATGTTTTTTTTTCTTGAGTGAAGAATACTGTGAGTGATTTGGAGAGCCGGGGGTCTCTCGAAGAACCGACCAACTGTTAATGTTTCCTTTTGAATGAATACCGGTTTCTTTTGTTGATGTTCGAGTTGTGTGAATTCTGCTGTGAGTCTGAGAACTGTGTGAAGTTTCTGGGACATAACAGTGGTATCAGAGCCCATCTTTCCTCGGCCATGGTGACAGCTAAGGAGGTGGCATCGCAGGTGGAGGGTTTCGAAGAACGCTTGACTTCTCTGCATTCTGGAATTCGTGTGGAGATGGATGGCTTATGCAATGAGATTCAGTGACTCGACCCAGATAAGGTAGCAGCTGGACTTTCGAAGATCTCATCTCTGGAGAGCTCGGTACAATCTCTGGAAGGAGGCGTTCAAGATCTGGTGAGACGTTTTGATCTGTTGCTTCATCAACAGGTCTATTCGGCTCCTTTGTCTACGACTRACATTGCTCCTCCTCTAGTCGCATCGAGTCGTGTGGTTGACAAAGGGAAGAGTGCAGCTTTTCCGATGTCTTCTTCGATGGCGGTGCCAGAGCATACTTCTGATTCACTTCCTCGGAAGTTGGAGTTACCTATTTTTGATGGGGAAAATCTAGACGACTGGCTTTTTCGCGTGGAGCGCTATTTTGAGATTAATGGCTTGCTTCCGGTGGAACGTCTGCGGGCGGCCGTTGTCTGTTTAGAGGGTGATGCATTGGTGTGGTATTACTGGGAAGATGGTTGACGACCTTTTCAGAGTTGGGCAGAATTCAAAGAGCTCCTCCTAGAACGTTTTCGATCGACTCAGGAGGGAAATTTACAGGAGTAGCTTTTATCGTTACATGAATCTTATACTGTTAAGGAATATCGTCGCCAATTTGAGGTGCTCTCCGCTCCCTTACGTGACCTGCCGGAATCAGTCCTTGAAGCAGCACTTGTTAATGGGTTGCGCCTAGATATCCAGGCCAAACTCCGACAAATGGAACCCGTTGGGTTGATAAGGAAGATGGTTGCGGCCCAGAAAATTGAGAAGGATCAGGTCTTATGGGCTTATCAATCAGGTTTATTTCCTCGTGGGCCCGCAACATCCCCCTCTGGAGCTCACTTTAATTCACGGGTTTCGCAAGTGACTACTTCTGCTGTCGCCCGACCTGCACGTGCTGTGATTCCTCCTTCATCTGTCCCCATTATTAAGGCCCCACCACCTGCTTTCAAAAAAATGACTGGTAAAGAGATGCAGCAGAAGCATGCGAAGGGTCTATGCTTCCGTTGCGACGAGAAATATAGTCCGGGGCATCGTTGTGCTCATAAATCACTTCAGGTTTTATGGGTTCAAGATGATGTGGAGGAAATTACTTCTAATGCGTGTTATGGACACACCGACCGGCAGCGCAGTCATAGGCAACAACACGCACAGCAGCAGGCACCGCCCGGCAGCGCCGCACAGCAGCACGCACCGCCC